CAGCTCTCCTAATACATTTATGTTAACTGAATACAAAAGAAACGTGAAATAAATATAACCAGGAGGGATGATCAAATCTAATTTTGATACATTAGTGTCATATGCTGTACATGTTACAATAGCAGCCAGACTTTAAACTAAGCTGCAGGCTATACTGAAATTTCCAAATGGCAGATTGTTCTAAGTGATACCAAGTATAATTGAAGTAATAAACGATAGTAAAAGCAAAGCACACTGTCAGGAAGAATTTAAGTATTTACTTTTTAAAATTAAATGAGTTAGGTTTGGAAAGGCAAGACAAGTGAAATAATGCAGGGCTCAATTTACAGAAAATTCCTTTTATTTATCTGTTACATTAACCCTTGAACTCTTGCCAAAATTACTGTAATTTCTAATACCCACTTACCTAAAGGAGAGAGAAAAAAAACTATTATATTTTCTTCTGATAGAAGAGCTAGCCTCAACTTTTTTTCTTCTTCAAAAATGGCAGTGTTTATTACAAAAAGAACAAAAGGAGCAGAGATATATGAAGTAATGGCTTTATGCAGCTACTTTTGTCCATTTAATGTTAACAGCACTACTGTCTACAGTGCACATACCTTCTAGATGAACCTTCCACAAAACTTTGTCTCAATAACTATGGTGTGTTTGGGGTTTTTGCTTATTTGGTTTGATTTTTAGATGTGTTAGATGGTTTAGATGTGTATCTAACCATAACTAAAAAAAAATACTGTACTAATAATTCACATCTATAAACCTTCAAGTTCCCAAAACATGTTAGCAACACAATAAAAAACCCATAAGTACTGGGAGCTGTAACGATCTTATGTGGTTAGGATCATGTAATGTACAACTTAGAATCATGTAATACACAAAAAGCTCAAGATGAATTAGTATTCTAATCACTAACAACATTACTACTTTTTATTTACATACTCTGTGTATAAAATCCTCACTTACAATGCCTTCACTCCTTTAGGAAGTTCCTCCTAAGGCAGGAGAAACTAGACAGGTAATAGCTCATTTATGTGTCTCTACAACCTTTCTCATTCTGTGAACTGAGTCTTCACATTATTTACTCCTCATATTCTCTGCAAGCTTGTTCTTGTAAGGTTAGTGTAAATACTTTTTACTCTAACCTTTAATTGTAGAATGGATTGCATTATCAGCATGAAACCTTTAATTTCCTATTTGCAAATTAAGTAGTTATTTTATGCATGAATTTCAGTCTTAAGTTCCTTTACACAGTCAGAAGTTTTTTAGCGGTTCTTGAATTCATGTCTTTTTTTGCTCTTGTTCATATCTTCAGAAACAAATGCTTCAGAGGATCAAGACACTTACAAGTTTAATTTATTACTCTAAGACAGATGGAAAAATAGTTTTAAAATGGCTTAGTCCCTGAAACAGCAGAATCTTGATTTTACAGTGGCTCAACTGGCAGGAAGAAGTTTTGTTTTAATTTAATTTAATTTCCATTTATAAGATGAACCTATCATGTACCTCTAGGCACATTTACAATATAAAAAACAGCAGCCATTTGAAGCCAACTATGGCAAGTTCACTTGTATTTCTCCCGTTGAATAAAACAGACCAAAAAAAATCACATTAAAGACCTGTAGAGAAACCCAAATCTCAAGTTTCTCTGAAGGTCATGAGCAGTACATGTACTCAGAACAATTAGAACTGTTAGCACTCACATGGCTCTCAAATAATTTCGATAGTGCATGTGAGCTGATTTCATAAAACACAATCCTTTTGCTGATATGCTCAGTCCAAGCAGCATGAGTAGTTGTTGTGAATAGTAAATAAATTAAGACTGTCTTCCTACTCATGTCTCCTGATAGCACTTGCTGGTTTATCCCAGATGTAAACTTCAGCTGATGTTTCTCTCAAGTTTAGGATGAATTTCTTAACATCTCTCTTTGCTGTTGGGTCCTTGATAACTAATGCTTCTTCCCATGAAGTCTTTACTTGCTGAGTAGGAGCACTAAAACTCTCACCTACTCCATCTCCTTAACTTAGCCTATCATCATTAAACATACACAAAATGAACAGCTTTTAAACATGTCTTTATTAGATTTGACTGGAATGGGCCAAAATCTGTTAGGGAAGGGAGCAGAGAAAGAGGCTCATAAGCCTCTGTTCTTGGGAAAATATACTTAAAAAGAACAAAATCAACACACTGAGGAAGAACAGAGAAGAAAGCCACAGACAAATAAAGTAGCTTGATTAAACAGTCAACCAGTAGCTGAGCCACAAATACAATTTCAATCTATTGATACACTCTATATATCCATACAGACTTCAAATATTCCAAATTACTGATGAGTGAGACTGTTGGTAAAGCAGGAGAGAAACAGGGACAAGCTGGAATTGTTAAGAAGCCCAGCTGACACAATTTTGACAAACTGAGTCACAGGAAGCCTGGACCAGCACCGAACCTTGCCGGGCAAGAACAGCTGTATGTAGATGCAGGGTGCTCTGTGGTGGTGTATCCCTCCCTACCCCCTCGACTGAACTATCATCATAGAAATGCCTGTTAGGCCTTGGCCCTGACAAACAGCACCTGGGCTAAGCTCCTCTTGAGTGTAATCTAATGAGCTCCTGTTTCTTAATGAACAACCTTGGAAACTTGTTTTTCTGGCATGAATAACAGCCCAAGTGGAACTGGTAATCGAAGTTGTAATCAAACTTTCAAAGAAAGTTACCAACTCAAATAGTGGAGAGAATGGAAAAATACTGTGACTAAATTCAAATCTCTTGCAGCCCTATACAAGTGGTTAGAAGTGAGATCCTTTGAGCTCTCCTGGACCACCAGTTGGCTGCAGCCAGCAATCTTCCTGAGTGGGACACCTCTAAGAGGCAGCAATCTCTCAAGTTTGCTGTACTTAGAGGATCACTGTCAAATGACACCAATGGAGCCTGGGCTGATACTCCTGCTGCTCAAGGATCAACCCCTTCACTTGTTGAGAAGATGCAAAAGAATCTGACATGAGTAGTTCATTGAACCCAAGGAGAATTTTTTGTGTTTGAGGTATATACCTCATACATACTCCTATAGATCTGGGTGAATGACAGTGTAAATGTGCTATAGCAAGTGTACTATGAACGTTGCTCTCAGATTAAGTACTTCAGATTTTTAAGTTAGGCCTGTAAGTGAGTTACCACTGTGCACGGTAAATTCTATAGAACCTTTTGTTAAATTATTTAAATTAAGCTATCGATGTTAAGTGCTGCTAAGTTTACATGCTGGTAAAAGCTTTAAGCCTAAACTGTTGTTCAAGTCTGGAGCTAAGCTTGGCAAGGGGGTCCACTCTGAACCTTGTGACTCATTGGGAGGATTTTCCTCATTGCTTTTCATCTTCACCCTTTACTGTCCTTACTCGTTTTTCATCCCCAGCCTCCACATAGATCATACTTGGTTGATTTTCGTTTTAGATTGATTGATTAATTTTTACTTTTTAAAAGTCTGACTTTTCTCTGTGTGCTTTAAGCATCCAGTAGGCAGTAGACCGAATCTTGCCAATGAACAGTGCTACACTTTTATTTGAATATTAAACCTGCTTTTGCCAATGCCTTTGGTGATCATTCTTTGAGCTACCTAAAATGCTCATTCATTACATGATCCTGGAAACAGACATGAGATCTTGCCTCTGTGTTCTGCTGAAGTCCACAGCATTTTTAAATTATTCACTATTAATTATTTTTCACTGTGACCTGTCTTCCCCCTTTCCAACACTTTGTAATGATCTAATTCAAACTGATTATAAACAAAATTTGTAAGGTTAATTACAAACTGCGTTTTATAAAAACAGGTTTTTGTTTAAAAAATATTAAAAAAATCAACTTCAAAAGACCCCCCCACACTTTGTTCTATACTAAAACAATAGCAACAATCTAATTTTTAAATGAGTTGTTTTTGCTATTAACCACTTCTATAAATCATTAACAACCTTAGTATTAACCTGACTCTAGTTCAGGAAATACAGAACAGAGAGGATGCAGCATCATAGGCACAAAAGCAAAAGCATTTTTAATTAAAAAACCCCACACCAACCAAACCAACCTCAGACAGAACAGTGAGAAGTTAGAATTCATAGTCAGTCTATAATAAGAACAATAATATTTTTTCTTCAAGTTGAACACAAAGAAAAAGAAGTCATTAATAATTGAAGCTTGCCAGAGGCATGGCTATTTCTCTCTTTACTAACTGTCTACCATCTAATTTAATTACAAGTATTAAAGTCCATGCTGAGGTCAACCAGCTTCAGTTCCTCCAATATTACACTTCAACCAGTGCTCATTAACGTGTCTAGTGAATGGATTAGCACATCTGAAGATGTATGTATGCAGGATGGGGGGACAGTCTGAGGATAGCTAATTGTTCATTTATAATAGAACACATGTTCGAGACTGTAACTTATCACTAATGTGGAATTTATTAAATTCTAAAGAAAAAAATACCAGTACAGAAAACCATTTTTTTTCTTAATGCAGCTATAAGAGATCATATCACTGTTGAGAATCTGTGCCTCCTTCAGGACAAAACACCTTATATACAATAAACACTGTCTTCATATTTTTAACTTTTTTTTTTAATGGGAAAACTATGTTAATAACCCACACATGACTCTTAGGTAAATAAAAAGTAGTCTCAGAAAGTAGTCCCCACAAATTTCTTAACTGGCATCTAAGGCTTCAAAATTACTAAGTCATCATTCAGATGTAATACTTTTTCTTTTATACCAACAATTATTTCCCTGCACTTTTCCCCACTATACATACATATGTTCTTGCCAACAATTGCAATGATGGTAAAAATCCCCAGTATGGCAAAATTAGAAATTGGCAGAGAATATACCAACTTAGCAGGTAAAAATGTTATAATATTTTATGGTGTTTTGTTGTGTTGGATTTTTTTTTTTAAGTTACTGTATTTTCTTTGGCTAATTTCTCTAGGTTTATTACCAAGAGAAGACTGTTTATTCAGAGATACCTACCTTTTTTGTTAAAGAGTCATCTGAATCAGAAGGCATTCTTGTTGACACATGGAACATTACTTCCACTGTTGAGGTAGCAAAATATGGAGTGGTCAATCCAGTGCTTTTGTTTTTTTGCAGTCCTCCCATAAAGCCACAATGGTTTGTAAGATTTACCTAGAAATAAAGACCAGGAAGCTTCACAAGAAAAAAATTATCAAGTAATAAATACATTCTTTATACTTTAAAATGCACTTTCAACTGAACTTTAAAAGTGAAATAATTTTCCCAACAGTATAGGTACACTTTGTTTCTAAAAGAGCTCAGACTTGCTGACTAGACTGGAAATCAACTGCAGTGCATTAGCATTCTATATTCCATGGTCACCACAAAAGTTACTGGAAAGATGAGGTTAGAAGAAAGGAAAGACTTTGTAAATAATATTTACTGCATTATCCCCTGATCATTTCAGTGTAGTCACTTACATGTGCTTTCTGAATTTTTAAAAATTCTCTGATACTACATCAACTTTGGCCTGAGCTCTGCAAAAACTCTGTGTAACAGCCAGGGAATTTAGTACCTTCCATATTTTTTTTGAGATATTTTCATTCTGCATTGATAAAAAAAATATTCACAGGAAACTAACTGACAATTTGTAAATAAATTTTAAAGTCTTAGATCAATGGGAAACAGTCTGACACTGAAATAAGTAAGCACGTTTAATGTGCTGTTTCACCTTTAAAACAGTGACTACAAAAGGTTGGTTTTCAGATGTGAATACATTTAATCTCTGCCCATATAGGATATATTTGTTTTCTTGATACTAAAGGATGCAGAATTTAATGTTAAAATGTTAAAATATTGTTGTCTCATTATGGAATATTAATCCAAATTAGCAACTCTTTAAACTAGCTAATACTGCCTAAGAGAACTAAACCACTAAAGAAGGATATTTTATGTTACTAATGTTATTCTTTTTTTCCTCCTGAATACGGGAAATAAACATCTATGTTCATGAAAGTCAGCAGACTTGTAGCTCTTTTCCTCTGTTCCTGTGGGAAAGTCAGAGTGATTATCCACACAGTTAATCTCGTAGTGTCCTTTTGGACCTAAGGAGTAAAGAAATACAAAGAACAAATACGATAGACACTCATACAGACACTCCTGATGAGCACAAGGTGCAAGAGGAGCAAAAACCCTGCAGCTTCTTATACAGCCTACCAGGACCAAAAGCCATTCCTGTATTCTGTGCAACAGTGCCAAATTGAACTTTACAGTGGTAATTAATCCTGTGCATCTGAAAGAAACATGGAAAAAAGGAAATCCTTGTGATAGTATTGAACAAGTGACTAAAGAGCTGCAGGCCCACACAGATGATGGGGTAGGTCACAATATTTCTGACTGCTCAAAGAGAAGTAGAGTGGAGCGTGTGAACTGATACACGTCTGCAGTGGAATGCAGGAAGAAGAGAGTATGTGAGAAGCTGCTTGTCTGTGCTTTTTGAAGTCCCAAATTTGAGCAAAGCTCAAACTTCAATGGACTTAACACTTTACAAGCTTACAGGGAAATCAAGATGCCTCCCAATCAGTTCAGGAAAGCCAAGTACAGGACTGCAGATTAAAGAATTATCTTTGTCTGCAAAAACTTTCTTCAGTTATTGAGAGCTTGAATTTAAATGGCTAGTATTGCTGATGAAACTAAAACAGGAATTCTTCTCTAAATCTCATTTTTAAACCGGTGTATTTCAGTACTTGTGAGTAATGCTGGAGAACCAAAGACTTGTAATATATTAAGGTATCAGTAATTGTCTTTGTAAAAAAACTAGGATAAGAACATTTAATAAATACCTCCCAGCCAAGACCAGCTACGAAATCCTCGTAGGCTTGACTTCCCCCAGTATTGGTAAGAATGGAGTGTTTATCTTCCTGTCCCTCAGCAACATAAAACACTGCAATCTTGTGTGTCTCTCGGCTGTAAAACAGAATGATCATTGCATGACAGTGCCTTTACTAATATGAAATGAAAATATGCAAACAATACATACAGAGCATGGCTTTTAAAGCATAAAAATGCATATTGGAATTATAGTACAATTATATAGTTTCTTTTTGGATATCCCCTATATTTTCATATTCTCATTCTGTCCTTTCTAGTGTCATCTTCTCTAGAGCCTAAAGTTTTGCTATACATGAGCAGCATTTACCCCTTTCATCACTTCTAAGATGCAGGATGGTGCTGGCTGTACCAATTGCTAATGGAATAGGTGAGCTTTTGACATGGGTAAAACCTGTAATGTATTATCCACACTGCACTGCCCATTAACAACAGAGCCTTCTGAACACTGTGAAAATGCAGCTTGTGCAACTGAATGAAGAATCTTTACATATTTTTTAAAGATCATAATCATTTAAATGTCTTCTGTTGACAGGTTGTCCTTAGACACTGAAACAAATAGAGATGGTTTCTCACTCTTCTACAACTTCCACAAGTTTTCTTTCAATTTCTACAAAAATAAGTCTAATTTTAATTCTGTTCTACAATTCCAACTAGAGGTCCATGTCTTCACATACTGGGACCACTTGAAACAGCTAAACAATCAACCAAAGCTTAAAATGTGGAGACTTTGATATATCAAAGTTTTAAAATAATTAAATGTTCTGCAAATACAAATGCTCATAAGTTACTTTGAAATTTGCTTATCTCATGGTATTCTATGTGCAGAATTTGACCCTACAAATAAAACCACTGCAACTTCAATATAAGAGAAAAAACTACAGTAAGATGCAAAATACATTAATAATTAAAAAGCTATTTAAAAAGTCAGCTCAACTCTCACATCTATGCAATTAGAGCCATTTGAGTAAATGCACACTTAAAACAAGTAAGTAGGCAGTCATTAAAAGAATTTACCATTGTCTTGAGTCCAAATTTCTGAGTTCTCGAAGTAACTTCTCATTTTTCTTCAGGAGATGAAAGCTCCTTCTAAATAGAGAAATTTGTAACTCTTTTATTACCTCTTCACTGATGGATACAGAACAGTACAAGAATGATAAACAATATATCCAGGTCCACTCAGGAACAGTCAACGCATGCTTCTGCCTTTTCAACAGTCCTTTCTTAATATACAAAAATTAAGACATCTTTAAAAAAATATACAAGCAATTTTTCTTACTACAGAAAATCTTCTATATTCATTACAGCCCTGAGTACAATCTTAATGTCTTTCCACTTTCTTCTGTCAGCCCATTGGATCTGACTCGGATCCATTTCTTCTCTATAGAAGAACCATAAAATAAATATGTTTAGTGACAAAAGACACTCCCATTAGTCTACTGTTGTAGGGAGTTGGTGCATTCAGAACAGAACTTTTGCTACCCTGGAGAGCAGAACTTAGCTCAGTAATCACCCAGCCAGCTGTAACAATTTAAACAAAAAACAAAAACAGTGTGTTAGAGAAAGAAAGGCAGTTTTCATGTCTTTTCAACTGTGCTTAAGATGTTTCCCACAAAACATTGTGGCATTAAGAGCAGTCCTGTTCAAAACCAGACTGCCTTGAGGAATTAAAGACCCAAATAAGAAGGGTTGTAACACCAACATTTTGTCTGATTCCAGTAATAGCTCAGTTACACAGATTATTTTTGTTTTACTGAATATGTTTCCCTTCATAGTAGGAAAATATATCAATGATTCTAATGTGGAATTTGAAAGCAATAGCAGAAGAAGATTTCAGAAAAACCCATAAATTCTAGGATGCTAATATTTGTACATACCCCCATGTATATGCAGACATGCACTTAACTAAATCTACACAAAAATAATAATGTAAAGAGGCATTACTTCTGTAATTGACCATGGTTCTCTCCTGTTGCTCTAAACAATATTCAAACAGTACTCAAGCACAGCCAATGTTGAAATAAATAGTAGGGAACACATCTTTCTCATTAGCTAATACACATGCAAGGCTTTGAGCCTGCACGCAAGCATGCTTTTAGCAGACAAAGCAGCAGGACACTGTCCAGCGACACAATAGCTGAGAATATGACACTTTCTGAGTATTATTCTGGCATTGAAAGGTAATGATTTTTGCAGAAACATACATGGGAAGCAAAGAAAATACATCACTCCTTCAATTTGCCTTCAAACACTTTCTAAGGAAAGAATATGAACCACAAGGAATGCAACAGATTTCTCCTTTCTGTCTCTCTAAATGATAGGCTGAAAAGCAGAGGAAAACTGCCATTTAGGCCTCAACTGCACATTCCCTCTCTTTTCTTAGCTGGCCTGGAATATTTTTAGCTTAACAAACTCTATGATGAAGGTAAGAACAGCACAGTTCCTGAAAAACAGTTCTTAAAATATGAGTAGTTTTACCTTTTATCCCATGAATTCATTCCCAGTATACTGAGAAGTAATCTACAGTAGTAAAACGCTGACTGTGGCTTTTGTGAGGTTGGCTCGTCCTGCTCCATAGCCCTCATATTTACATCATTGAAATGCTTTTCAACAAACTCTCTCTCTTCTGTGTGCTGTTTCAGAATTGCATTAATGACATCGTTCTCCTGCTTTTCTGAGATGCAGACTGGTTGAGGAGCAGGGATGTTGAGTGAAACACCAGTTCTCTGTAAGCATTCAGGGCTTGTAACACCTAAATACTGCAGCAGCTCATCAAGAGCATCTTCTTCATCCCTAATTGTATCCCATGTTGGTACAGTGTCTCTAAATTTCCTTTTAACTTGGAGTGTAATTCCATCTCTTGCAGATACATCCTCCACATGCTCAAAAGATGAAAGAGCATCTTCTGGTTTATCTTGCTGAGACAATGAAAGTGCAAAAGATGTTTGTTGTGAAGATCCACATAAAGATGATGGTCCATACAAAATGGCCGAATCCCATGAGTATTTGCCAGACAGATCACGCACTATAATTCGAACATTTGAATTAGCTGATGCAAGACCAGCAGACAGTCCTCCTCCAGGCATGTCGTCTTCTGCTTGGATTTGTATGCAAGACACCAGGGAAGTATTGTTTAATACAAAGAATTGAAGATTTGGGTTCTCAAAAAGTTCAGGAGAAAGCTCAGGACTTTCACTGTATGGATTGTCATTGTTTTCACACACTTGACTGGTCAGCATAGCAGGACCTCCACTCATAGGATAGTGGCCTAAGTGGTTGACTAGATGTGTTATCACAGTACGAGCAGCAACAGATATTAATCCTTGTTGCATGTGAGTTTTCACTGTAAGAGAAAGAGCACAGGTTTTAAAAGAAGAGTTCAGGAAACAACACTGAGATTTATGTGCTTCTTTTGGTCTCTTCCTGAGAGAATGAGCACTGCAAGCTGAGGATACATGCAACTCAGTAATGGAAAAATATGTATTTTGATACCATTGGTCTTGTATATAAATAGCATGAAAAATCCTGAAACAGTTAAAGAAGCATCTTTATTATTTTTTAGCCATGTCTATGTCTACAGATTATACTTGCTTTGTTATCAGCACTGTTCTTCTAAAATACACAATTTCTTATCTAGTGAAAATAAATCTTGAATTGCTGTTGAAGTAGAGATCGTAACTGTGTTGCAAGATATCCATTCCAACTGCAGTGTATTTTTATATTTATGCACATCATTACACTGAGAAATACAAAGGAAGATAGATGCACAAAAGGTCTAATCCATCTTAATTTCCCTGGGGAGCATATAGCTGTAGGTTAGCTTGAGAATAGCACTGAATAATTTTAAAGTACAAAATCAAGGATCAGGTTGTCTATATTGAACATGATCTAACATTATCAAAATTTTCAAAAACAAAATTTCATGCCAGAACTGCATTTTAAGAAGCTTCAGGTTAGAAAACCTTGAGAGGGAGAAAGAAAAGTTAATTGTGCCCATCTTATGTGAAATTCATCCTATGAGATGCACCAGTACTTCAATACGGTTTTTGCTACCTCCTTCTTTGCTGCGTACCTTCCACTTGTATGTTATGTCATCTAATTTCAAAAAAGGTATTTTTAATGTTTATATCACACCCTGCTAACACAATACTATATTGTAATGAATTATTCTTATTGAGTCCACCCTACATGAAGTACATGAGCCAGACAAAAGTGACTCTCTCAGGCAGAGAAACGTCAATTGGTTCAGGGGACCTACTGAAGAATCCATACACAAAAATATTACACTGCAGAATAAGACTGGTGGAAGAAGGAACAAGATCAAAATGGCACAGTATTTGTTTTCTGTGTCCCCTCTCTTGTAACTGGGCATGGATGAACTGAATTTGGGATTTACAAAGGGAAGATTAAAAAGCTGTACTCCTCAGGATTACATCATGCATTTTTAATTACATTAAACATTGAAAACTTCTGCAAATGCTTCCCCCATCTTCTTTCTCACCAAAATCCATCAAACCAGAATGTTCTGAACGATGTCACTTTTTCATTCAGCATTTACTGAGAATATGTAACCTCTTGGGCATAGAAGTAAGGTATAATGAATTCATCTCACTTTATGTTGGATATTCATAAGCTGCAAAATTATGTTTAATAAACAAATTTATTTTTGCAGTTTCAGATATCTTAATTGGTTTAACTGGAAAAATAAAGGCAAATTTATGATGTGTACTGACTGCCATTATAGATCTTCAGTTTCTGGAGATGGATGCATTCAACAACTGCAAAAATAAACAGGTAGCTTGTATTTGCCTTTCTTTTCCCCAAAAAGGTTTGGGTACAGCATGTAAGACATGTTTGGATTCTGGCTATTCTCTTCCTTTAGGAAGCACTACATCTGAACTACAAATAGGGAAACATTTCATCCAGTTAATAGCTGGCAAAAACAGCATAACATTTACACAATTCCAAAACTCATATCTACTCAAGTATTTTAATAAACTAATGCCTTGAAAATTAATATAAGCAGATTAGAGACTGTATTTTTATCCTCTATAGCCTTCTTGAGGTTTAAAATTTACAAATAAAAACAACATTCAGTGACACTGAATTAAGTGTCCAGATATTGGCAGCATACGAGGAAATTAAGTTATAGTGCCATCTGCTGAAATATAAGAAGGAACTGGAAGCAGATTTTATACAAAACAAAGAGCAAATAAGCTGGGTGCTTGAAGAATCATATATCAGCACGTTATTGACTAGCACCTGGACAATGCAGAGGGTGGCCCATCTTTATCAGGATATTTATACCAAGTATTTAGCACTTACCACTGCATAGATAAATAAGGTAATAATTTTCTCAGCTTCCCAGAAGCAGAGACACACAAGCTTTCCAGACACCTGAAGTCCCACTCTTAAAGGTTAAATGCTCCCTGAAGAAATAAGGACCTTCTAGCAATGTTATTACTATTACAGTTGTGTGGGAACACTGACGATCTCAAACCTCACCACGGTTGTTTTGTGCCTGTGTGTGTGAATGTACTCCCTTAGGAGTGTAAGGAACATATGGAAAAGACGAGTGACATGGTGATATGAAGAGGGAAACAATTAATTTAAATTTGGAAGATTCATTCTCAGTCCTAATACAGCCTTGCCCTGAAAACTTTGCACTTGAATTAAAATCATGAATCTGTCATTGTTTCTTTTATAAAATATGAACACTACATCTGAGTCTTCTCTCAGAATACAGTGTTGTTGATCTAAAAATGACACAGAAAACTTAAATTAGAAGTATCAAGAGAAGTATGCTGAAAAGTAGACTTTAAGATTCAATCTGTTATGTTGAAATAAAATAAAGCAATCTTGAAACATTTTTGCCACACAGGAAATCAGATTTTGATGATGGTTTTCCCAGGAATAAAAAAGGAAAAATTCCAAACCTAGTAATGCATTTTGAAATTATGAAAATTCTAAATTAACTTTGCAACTTAATTTATTCCTAGAAGCACATCTCCTCAATCAGGAATAACTGGGCATTCAAGATATTAAAACCTTAAAATTAGTATCTAAACCATGTTCTTTGTTTGGATGGCAAATGAAAATATGTAATAATGCAAGTCATCACAGCTTTACCACAAATTCTACCAACTAAGTCATATCTTTACACATTAAGGCAGTCCAGGTCACTGCTTTGTTGACCTATCTTCCTGAGAGAACACATCACTGCTTTCTTTACAATGGTACTGCCTCTGGCTTGGGCAACGTAATTTAAATGTCTACATGATCATTTGGTAATTTACTAGAAACGTGTTATACTATTTATTTTTCTTAGTCCTGAAATTACCTCTTTTGTGGAAAGACTGAAAGTCCATCACTACCAATTTGTATCTGTGGCATGAATGAAGGATTCCTGATTTTCCTTAAGATGTGCTCTTAACTTTTTAATTCAACTTTGGCTGAACAATTTTAAACAACTATGGTTATGAAGTAGAAGGAAAAAGTAATGACTGAGGGTGGAATTTAACTCTCCTCATCCCTTTAGCTGTGTAAAGAATGATGACCTGTACAGACTGATTAATCTCAAATTGGAGCAATGGGATGAATCACTCTCTAAAAACACTTATTTTTCCTTCATTATGTTTAGAGGGAGCCTAAGAGTGTTCCTCTTAGCTTAGTTTCCTGTATTTTACCTTAGTTTAAGCAAGTCTCATTGCTTTGTAATTGTAAACTTCAGCTATATCAACATGCATGCAGTAACAAAGAACCCATCTCTAGAATATTCCCCACAAAACACAAACTGTGTTAATCTAGATGCTTTATGTATAAAGTATTTTTTTAAAGTGTGCATTTTGTGTCCTTTCAGTAAAACGGCAAACAGCAAGGCCTTATAGGGAAAGTACTTTATATTTCTACTTTTTAAACAAAAGCTATCATCAGGCAGGGGAAGTATTTTTCACTAGAAATTGAAAAGTATTAGGAAAAAATGATCCATCTATGCAAAAGAGTTTAAAATATATTTGGAGAAATATGAGTAATGGGGGAAAAATCAACCAAATCAGTAACTGATAGACCACTGTACCCATGTAATGTTACTAGAACCTTCCAATCACAACTACCTCTAACAGATTTGTGATCCATGAAGAAATGCATGAAAAAAGCATGAAAAAGCATGAAAGCTTTCAAAATGTTTTTTGTCTATAATTGCAAAAAAATTCTCTGTCATACATGTTTATGGTCCTGAAATGAAATGCAAAAGTTCAGAAGCAAGTTAGCAGATTGTGTCACTATGCAGTCCAGGTTGGCTTGTGAACATCTAAGCTGGCTAGTGGGTTTGTGTGGCACAAAAAGTTTTGGTAGTGCAGGGGCTACAGGGGGCGCTTCTCTGAAAAGCTGCTGGAAGCTTCCCCTGTGTCTGATGAAGACAATGTCAGCCAGCTCCAAGTTGGACCTGCTGCTCACCAAGGCAGAGCTGATCAGTGATGGAAGTAATGCCTCTGGAATAACAGAGTTAAGAAGGAAAAAAATATTATTGGGTAAATTGAAATTGCAGCCAAAGAGCAGAACGAGAATATGTGAAAGCAACTACTCTGCAGACACCAAGGTCAGTGAAGAAGGAGGGGCAGGAGGTGCTCCAGGCAGAGATTCCCTGCAGCCTCCAGTGCAGACCATGGTGAGACAGGATGCGCCCCTGCAGCCCAAGGGCGTTCACAGTGGAAGAGAGATTCACCTGCAGCCCCCAGGGACCACATGCTAGAGCAAGTGGATGCCCAAAGGAGGCTGTGATGCTGTGGAAAGTCCACACTGTACCAGGCTCCTGGCAGGAACTGTGGTGCTGTGCAGAGAGGAGCCCATACTGGAGCAGGCTTGCTGGGAGGATTTATGACCCAGAGGGGGACCCATGCTGGAGCAGCCTGTGCCTACAGGACTGAGCCATATGAAGGGGATCCACAGTGGCACATTCATGAAGAACTGCAGTCCGTGGGAAGGAGTTGTGTTGAAGTCTCCTGTGTGAGGGCCCCCATGCTGGAGCAGGGGAAGAGAATGAAGAGTCCTTCCCCTGTGGAGGAAGGAGCAGCAGAGACAATATGTGGTGAACTGACTGAAGTCCCCCAGTCCCTATCCTCTTGTACCACTGGGGGCAAGGAGGAGGTAGAGATTTACAATGAAGTTAAGCCCAGGATGGAGGGAGGGGTAGGGGTATGATGTTTTGAAGACTTGGTTTTATTTCACATTATCCTATCCTGATTTGCTTGATAATGAATTCAATTAATTTCCCTAAGTCAAATCTGTTTTGCCCATGACAGTGATTGGTGAGTGATCTTTTCCTGTCTTTATCTCAACTCATGAGCCTTTCCTTATATTTTCTCTCCCCTGCATAGATGAGGAGAATGACAGAGCAGCAGTGGTGGGCAGCTGGCATCCAGCCAGGGTCAAATCACCACCACCACCATTTGTATGCCTGTACTGTAGCTACAGTAGGCTGCTGCTGACACTAACTAGAGGAACAGCTCATCAGCCTTGACATAGAAAAGTTAAGTGATTCTTTAGATGTATGAAAGCATCACAGACTTGCTGCCTGCAAGTTCTGATGATGCAGTAAAAGCTCCCTACTGATGTCCTTACAGAGGGCTGCTAAAAGTTCATCCTGGTTTAAAAGTAGCAGTTTAATATACTTAATACCTAATTTCAAAGTTATTCTTTGTATATCTTATACCAAAATCTACCAATTAACCAGCTACACAAAGGAGAACAAAAACAATTTTACAGATAATCCTAGGTTAAGAGCTTCCTTGTGAGAGACAGAACTTGTAAAGATACTGAAAAAGAGAGGCCAATAATCATGTTTTTTCTCAACATACACCTGTTCCCAGAGAATTTAAGAAATCTTTGTCCTGCTGTATATTGCATGGCTTGCTCCACACTTCTCAGTAGATGCTGTCTCCACTAGACAGCTGTGTCACTCTACGTCCCGTATCTTCTTGGTGTCATACCACATCATGCTGTGGCTAAGTATCCGCAAAACTTGTGACAGATCTGACCTTTAACAATGGAGGCATAACGGGGAAAATCAATCACATCAGTTAAAACACCCTGTCTTAAAAATTCTGTCATTCAAGCACTTTCAGCTTTGCTTGTAACCTAAGGAAAGAGTCTTGCAAATCCTACCCTGTTTTGTAGAGCTTCCCTGAATTCCCTACAACTTCTGCCCTGCTCATTTCCATTCCTTCAAAAAAGATATTATGATAGCCCTTTAACTCTGCTAAAAGATGCTGACCCATTGGCATACTGTTCTGCTGCTAGCTTGTACTAATTGACCCTCTGTCTTGACAGAGACCCAGACTGGTTATTATCCACTAGTTTTACTCCTCTTACTCCTCCAACAATGCCAGGGAGAACAGATGCTGTGCAATCGGTTAAGCACTGCCAATTTTATTCTCTGCCTGGAAATGGGGACTAGAAGTGCCAAGGTTGCAGAATCGAGGTTGCATTATAATGCTGCAGTCTGCCAATTAAATTTCACAGTCTAACTTACAATTCCAGAGCCCTGAAACTTAATTCATCTAGAGAGATAAAAGAAACATCTGAAATGACTTTCATTAAGAAATTTAACAAGAAATCATAAAAGAAAAGATCATGGTTGGAAATGCAAAATGAAGATATTGATGCTAAGGCTTTGTGCAACCGTGTTCATTTAAAGAGAAATCTATTCAAGGTTGTCTTTTCAGATTGTCAGATTAAAAAAGCCACACAGCATTTGCTTCTAACCCATAATTACAGATTATTATGGAATACAAAAGATGCCGGGCATAAAAAGCTACTACAATTCACTACACTGTAATAGAACATGCAGTGGAAGTAAATTTTGGCAAATGCTTTAAATATTAGCTTTACATAATATGTATAGGTGAGACTGTAATTAGGACAGAATGAATCCTTCGAAGCCTCTTTCATTCAGACCCTGCAGATGATTACTTTTTACTAATAAGGCCACAGCCATTTGACGAAAAGCCAACTATAGTACCTTGCCTCATTCTTCAGTAAATTTAATAATTACAGCTCCTCCTGCCAGTAGTTCTCAGATCAGACTTGTTCAATCCAATACTGAGCTTATTAGGGGACAGCTCTATGTTTAGAATTCTTTGGCCAAAAAAGTACTTGAGGATGATGAAGCATGCCTTAGACAAGGGCACAATGATTAGCCATTTTCTCTACATAAAAAACAGCACGTAGTCACTACAGACCACAAAATCACCTGCTGTTAGCACACAGCTGCTACAAAGAACTGCTGCATTTATCTGGTTCTTAATACCCTAAAAAAAGCCTAAATGGAACAACTTAATACAGAGGCAGAATAGCACTACACAGAGTTGCTTGTATCTTAATCTCATCTTTTTCAATTTTCTTCCCTATGTAGCCATTTGATATTTACTAGATACACGGCATAATACATGATAGTCCTCTGTACCTTAGACTCTTGATTCTTTAGTTTTATTTTTGAGTTGCGAAGAAAATGTTAATTCCCATGTCTCCTAAGATTATAATCAGATGAGAGAAAATTTCTCTCTTTTTAGATAAACCTGTGGTTTTAAGCAGTGTAAAAAGAGATCAACAAATTATGATAAGCTAAAAAATTTCTCAGAATTCATTCAATATTGCAATGTCAAACAGGAGCAAAAATCCAAAATAGTCCTAGAAAAAGGAGCAAAATCAAGAAAAAAATCAAATTAATTTACTGAAAGTAAAATGAAAAGCAACATTTATCCAGTACTTAACATTTCTGCTGATATACAGAGCAGAAGAATCCATATCATATCGATCTGGTGTTGTTCAGAACATACTTATTTCAGTTAATCAAATGGTAATTGCTCAAAATTACATTTGCTCATTCCATACTAAGGGTTCTTACCTAGTGTCTACATATAGCTGAAAACCCGTGCTTTAGACCAATACTTCAATACTGAAAACCTAGACAAAATCATTTTGAAAGAAAATATATTTAGGCAATTAGACAAACCTTCAGTGACTGGCTGAAGTTTAGAAGACCTCTCAGAGTCGGGAGAATGCAGTGGTTCTGGTTCCTTTAAGCTTTCTAAATGCATAAAAGGATCATAATCCATACATGCCAGATCAGAAAGGCTTAGAGGAAAATATTTCGGGTTGCTAAAACATTGAGACCCATAGACACATCCATGCAGAACCTAGAACAACATCAGAATTTCATTACATTAATTACTGAAATTTATACTTTATAGTTTTATAAGAAATGGAGTTTATTTTTGTTTGCATTTTAAAATTTGATTTGTTTGAAGGCAGGCATGCCGAAATGTTGGAAAATTTTAGATGCTTAATGTTTACAGAAACAAACTCTGGTCTGCAAAGAAAAATATTACCAAAGTGGAATTTATCAATAAAGAAACAAAACTTACAAAAAAATAAAGCTACCTTTATTTTAGATAACCTATCTTCTTTAATTACATATGCTAGGTCTAAGCTGTTAGAGATTTTAATCCCTTTCCCTTGCAAAAAGGATAAAACCCCCTGTGTCCCTAAAGACAGTAATTGCAACTTAGTGCTCTTTGCTTTGCTTATTGCTAAATGAAATTGCTTGATATAGAAAAGTTACATCCTTTTGTATTAAATGTATAGTTAGTCTTCAACCATACAAGCATCTACAATCTATATGACATGCAAAAAAAAAAGGCTTGGTTAACCATCCAAATGTACAACAAAATCTACTATTCCAAAGGTCAAGCTGTCACAGTGAAACATGCAAGAACTGAATAGAATAGAAGAATATTCCAGGACTAGAATGGAGGTCAGCTTATAGAAAACTTTTGCCTTAATTTCCATGAAAACTGACACTACCCCCACACATAAAAATTCTTAATAAGGGAGCAAAGAAACATGTACCTTATATATACAATTAAGAACAGATCTTTCAGTCTTATCATTTTCTGCTCCTGTAGTGTGAAGAGGCTGCAGCAAAGTCTTCAATGGCAAGGCCATTATCCAATCCAGTAAGCACAGAAGTAAAGAAACCACCAACTGGAAAAAAACACTTTCCATTACAAATCAATTAAGCCAGCACCTGCTACTTCATATTTATCACTTTATTTTATTTCTCTGTTTTGTGTTCTTTTTTCAATTCAGTAAAGTCAACCTTCTGCAGTAATGGCAGATCCCACTTGTTAACCACTGTATCTTCAAAATCTATGGCATCAGTAAAAACTTTGGCAACTGAGGTATTTAACAAAGGCCATCCATTCAATAGTTCCTGATCAGGGTAAGACTGAGCAGATACTGTACCTAAGCAGCTACCCACAGTTTTCAAAATTGATTTGTAGGGTGTTATTTTTAAAATGACAGATAACACAGGTCCAAATTAAGGCTGATGCACCATTTTGCACATAAATTTCACTATAAAGTGAATCAAGGATTACACAAAATGGAACGAATTCACCTGTATTTAGTGCTTTATAAATGACACATAATGTCCTTTACAACATATGAATAATGATATGCAGTTCCAGGTATCATCTGAGAGAAATCCAACTACTTTCTGTATTGTAGGTTATTAAGTTCTCAAAATAATCAACTCCTTCTTGGGATGTTTTGAAAGATGCAAGAACACAATGAGATTAATAACAGACACAAATCCAAACCAAATTATCAATAACTTACTGATCAAATAATTGTTTTTGATTTTTAAAACTCAGCTGTGGAAGAGAAGGCAATTCAGATGAATATCTGCAAGATTCTCTAAAATATTTCACAAGGTAAATAGAAGTCTTTAAAAAAATCCATTTACCTAATTTACTCATTTCACATAATGCATTCCAAGTTTGTCCCTCAAAAGTATAATAAACCTAATGATGAAGAGCACTGAGTCTTTTTATTTTTAACCATTTTTTAAGAAATCCATTAGGACTACATTTGTCAAAATAGGTAAGACAATTTTTATATGATATTTGATATACAGTGATCGACAGTAGCTCATGAGGAAACTTGGTCAGTTACAGAAAGCATCCTCAAGTGGAAAAGTGGGTAGCTTGGCATGAGAGTGTAGTTCTACAATGGCCCCTGACTTCCTGCAAACAGAGACAGAAGATGAAACAGAGCCTCTGAAAACCAAAATGAGCAACAGATGAACTCCAACTCCTTGTGGGAATGGTAGCCCAGAGTGATAGAGCTGTCAGCAACAAATTGCACTGAAGTGCCCAAATTTAAATGACCCAACGAGGCCCACAGCAAAGCTAATTCAGAAGAGACACAGCTTTCAGGAGGCAGAAAGTACAATGAAATGAAAAATACTTACCCTCTTGTCTTGCTCATAAGAAGAAGCTTCTGTGCTGGGTAGCAGATGTGTAATAGTTGCTATCAGAATCTGGGGAAATAGACCGCATTTCTTTTAAAACAGAACCTAAACATTTAAGTTTAAAATAATTTTTAAGCAGGTAAATATGACATGATATTAAAATCACAGTTAAATTCTATTACAATTATTTTGAGACAAGTTACAGTATCCTTGACAATTTTTTTAAAATAAAAACACTTTTAATTGAGTTTTGCAGGATACATTGAAGGAGTATGCTCTGTTTGACTGACGTAGGTGCATTAAGGACAATGAAATTACACAGCTACCTCAAATATTCAGGCATGAAAAGAACATGACTCAAAACACTTGTAGGATGCAGGAATAAATCTGGTGCTGGTTTATGAATGGTGATATCTGAGCTACATTATTTCTTAGAACTTCTAGAATTTCTGTGCACCCTGTCTCTATTTGATCTAACATGTCCCCAGAGGAGTACAGAAATGCTTGCTGTATCTCTTAAGAAGCTTTCACATGAAAAGAACCTGGGAGCCCTCTGTTTTTTCTCTGTGGGTCAGACTCACAGAGGCCATAGTCCACCTCCTTGTCGTGGGAAGTGTATTTAAAATACTATTTTTGCTTTATACTGAAACTCTTTCATAGATATGCAAAATACAATTGTAGATCCATATTTTAAGCAATCTTTTTCTTGCTGAACTTAAATATACATGCTTGAAGAGATCTAATATTAAAAAACAAAAATTGTATTTACTGACAACATTCTCATGACACTTTTTCTCTGAGAAAAAACAGGCATGTATGACACATTATATATCAATACTGGAGTCAAGAAGTTAAGTGTGCTGCAATTTCCTACTGCTAGTGTTAAGCAAGATTATGTTTATATTAATTCAATGTTTGCTAAATATAATTCTCAATATTCAGGTGTTTAATTTTAGAGTAACGCATGGTAATGTTTAATTTAAAATAATTGAAAATTTCAACTCAAAACAAATTACTTACTTGAATAATTCTTAAAGGTGAATCAGCTTGATACAGTTGAAGTCTATGTACATAATGTATCAGCATGTTCAGCATACTGCAGGCGACTTGGGCTACTGTTTTATTTGGAAACTAGAAAAGAGAACACAGCACAGTAGCAATGACAAAATGACCTCATGTAAAAATACATTAGGCGGGCAGGTGGTCACAAATTTCACTGGTAGTTTTACACATATAGTTCTTTAAGTATCTATTTACCAGAGGAACAGAATTAAATTTTACAAAACTCCAAAGGAACTATTTTATATTCATAAACAAATGTTAGCAGCTAACACCAAAGTTTTGGGACAAACATCCAGCAAGGTGCACGCCAGAAAGGGGAGAGGTGTCTCCTAACTAACTTCAGACTGGTCAGTACAACATCATGAAGCCAGGAAGAAAGACCTAATTTCTTGTTAACTTAATGATTATTAATATTAATGAATGACTGCAAAACCCCCTAAGGATCCAATTCTGAAATCAGAGGTCTTTGCTGAGAATCAAGGCAGGTGAAGAGCCACATGCCCAAAATGCAGTCTGTAGTACCAAACACGAGATGAACTGTTCTGCTGTCTGCCAGTGACTTCTATGCCCAGCACATGTTTGAATGGAAAGGAATTCACCTTGGCTTCTGTGCTTAACCTTGCTTTTCTTATAATGGCAAGAGAGAGCTGCTGCTCTGGAGCCTGCCTTCCACAGTTACTGTGCTGGTCAAAACAGAAGGGAACACATTTGTACAACTAATTACCAGTCTTAGAGGGGAATGTACACCTGTTCTATACTCCTAAGTGGGAAAACAGAAATTAAAACTAAGGGATGTGTTTCCCTAAATTGTTAATGCACAAGACATGTAATTGAGTTTTCTACCTTCACTGCACTTGCTTTAAGTTGTGCAGCAAATGACAAGGACAAAGTTAATATTACAAGTGAATTCCTGCATTATTAAGAAAGTAGTTTACTTGTTTCAATCTCACTATATTCAGCAGTGAAGCTGTCACAGGTATGTGCTGCAAGATGGCTCTCTACTTCTGAACTCAGAAAAGGGCAATTATGCTGTAAAAATATTTAGATGTAATTTCCTGGCGTCATAGGCTTTTTTTCTGACTCAGACCAGTTCTATTAACCCTTCAGGGAGGGATGCATGTCACAAAACTTAAGAAACCCAAAGCTTTAAGAAAGCTGAAATGCCCAAGCAATGAAGCCTGAGCAGAAAATAAAAATTTTAGAATAAAATTGTTGAAAGGCAAAAACTTAAACTGAAAATACACAGGAAGAAGACTGTTCTGGGTCAGCGCTTCTTATAAGGTAGAGCTATAAATTTTTATATTTAAAGTCTTGAAAGGAAATGGTACAAGCATAAGAAAAAGTCTGGAGTAGGAAGTTTTAATTACCTTTTTTTGTGGTATCTTTTTGTGGTATCAAAAAGAAAGACTATGAATGGCTCTTGCCAGTTATCCAGGGAAATGGAAACGGGAGTACACAATGGGTAGTTAATTCTTGTTCTGACTTTCCCTGTTTCTCAGTGGATTCAGTTTTATGTTACTCTTGGCTTTTAGCTCAAAACAGTAAACATCTCACATCTCCAAATCTTCACAGACTTTATGACAAGACTATCATTAGTTTTTCATCCCTCATGAGACAGCCTCTCTCCATGCTATGAAAGTACTTTGTAAGAGCACAGTAATCAGGGTACAAATTCTAATTCTCAAGCTTGAGTGGCAACCAAAAAAACCAAAAACAAAAATCTGAAAACATGACAATTTGATTACAGAACGTGAGATCAAATCCAGATTGCTCAAAACATGCTAACAAGCTGCAGGAAACCCCCAAAATCACTGGAGAAGAAAAATGGGTGGACAAACTGGGGTAGCTTAATACAGAGCATCCAGATCACTGAAAATAAGAAAAAATTACCTGAGAAAAAGACCTGGAGACTTTTCAGAGTCACTGAATAATTGGACATTCATTACTTAAATATAGAAAGCATTTCTTACATTTTTAATGGCTCTTTTTCTAAAGAGGCTTTAAAATGAAGATGAATGAATGAGTAATTTTTAAGGCTTGTTTACACAAATCAGTTAACCTCTTTTTTCCTCTGGTTGAAGAGAATTTATTTTTTAAAATTTATTAAAGGAATAAAAGTAAGTGGAGACATAAATTTCACATAAAGGATAAAGTGTATAAAATAATTAATATGAATAAATTAAAAATATAATCTTGCACACTTTAATTTTATTTTATTCATGGGAAAAGCATCGGGGAGGAAGTTTTATTCAAGAATACGGGAGCTGGCTGAAATAGATAAAATCCCTCATATGCTTCAAAATGCTGTCCTGGCATGATCAATATACCACATTTCAAAAGAATGCTGTCATAGGGTAGAGTTAATTTCCTCTCAGTAGTTGTTGCAGTGCTTGTGTTTTGGATTCAGAATGAGAATGGTGTTGATAACACAATGATGTTTTGTTTTTAGCTAAATTCTGTTTATCAGAAGTCAAGGATTTTTTTCTTCTTGTCTCATGTTGTGCCTGTGAGAAGGTGAGCAAAAGAAACTGGGTGGGAGCATGGCTGGGATGGACAACCCAAACTAACCAAAGGGATGTTCCACACCACAGGACATCATGCCCAGTAAATAAACTGGGGGTGTTATCCGGCAAGGGAGTCAGTCTGGGTTAGGAAAAGAATATCAGTCAGCAGGTGGTTAGCAAATATATTGTGCATCACTTGGGTTATTTTCCTTTCTCTTTTTATCATGTACCATTACTATGCTGTTTTACTTTGCTTTTGATTATTAAACTGTTCTCATCTCAACATACAAGTTTTGCCTTGATTGTCCTCGCCATTCCATTGCAGTGAGTGGGAAGAAAGGAGATTGAGCGAGTAGCTGCATGGTGCTTAACAACAAATGCTCAGGTACCTTAGAACAGTTAGGAGAGCTGTGGGCTCTGGAAGGACATTTTCCTGAACTCAAGTAGCCTCACTGACTATGTGTCAGATAATGAAACAATTCACCCCTTTCAAGTCAGTCATTTGACTCTGACTTCTTTTACAAGAACCTTCAGAGGTGGCAAGGAAACATCTGTATGATGCCATAAACATTCCACCTGCCATTCTTTGTTTCTGGAAAATGTCCTATGTTATAAAGCATAAGAATTCACCACTTTTATATTTAGTAGTGTAAATCATGGACATAATTTTTGAGAAGTTACTAGATGGGAAGAAAAAAAAGATGCCAATGAACTGGCACTTCGCCTGTTTACCAACTCTCAGGGCTTTTCTTGGAAAGGTAGTCTTACCATAAGGTTAATCTTTGTAAGGGTCCATTCTTTCTGGATGTTAAATTAGGTAGTTAACCCTGTCCACATTTGAAAATAACTCTTGTTTATCACTCATTCAACTAAGTCTGTACAACACAATTTTGTGATGTATCTGCAGCATTTTTGAGAGAACCAGAATAAAATTATAGGTCTCGATGGCTGGTTAGAATCCTTTGTACTCAAGCTCCAGCAGAGATTAATGTAGACAGAGCAGTGTTGCCACACAGCTGAGAGAAGCTATATCCAAAGCGAGCTGCTGAACTACAGCTCTGAATGTGCTTCTGGTATTTCGAAAATAAGCATGTAATTGCTGCTAGCATTTCTATTCAATGTTATTTGTTCAATTGAACTTATCAGTAAGTTGGACTAGGCCTACAGCTCCCTACCCATTCATTTCTCCTGAAAATAAGAAAATAATCCATTCTGGGAGTTAAAACCTCTGACTACTTGGTAGCCAGGAGATTGCTTAGGTAACAAATTAGAGCTAATTTATTTCTCCCATGACACATTAATGAACTTTTCATTTCATTATTAAATTCAATTGTGAATGTATATCATTGCTCAGAACTGGACTGAAAAAAAACCAATATGCACCGAATGGTTCTGCCAACACAAAGCAAAGCAAAGTAAAAATACAAAGATCTTTGTTTTCTCCTTCAAAAAGTAATTTATGTTTAATATAAATGAGATACAAATAATTGGTTTAATAAATACGTCACAGAAAAAGAACATAAATCACTATGAATTTCAGGAGGAAAAATAGTTCAAATATTGATAAATTGAAGCAGCAAGATAAAAACAACATTTGCCTTATACTAAACTTGCACAGGAACTTGATAAAATGCAAAGGTTACGCGTTATTAAAAACCAAAGGGAAAACCCTGGAAGATGGTATTAGTGGAGCTGCAAAGAATGAATGTGATTTTGCAAAACAGGAAATTGCAATTTAGAGTCTAATACTAAAAGCCCTGCAGCTACCTTATACAGAGACTCAAATCCTGTTTCACAGAATGTGAGCTGGTGATCTGCTATCTTTCAGATTCCCATTTCTTAAAAGACAAAAATAATCCCCAACATCCGACAGAAGTCATATGTAAAAGGTGTACACTCCAATTTTTATTAATCTATATAGACAGAAAGACTAGATTAGTCATAGAATTTTGATGCAAACAAAAAGCATGTAGAAAGGTTCTGAAGACAAACTGGAAAACATTTAAAAAGTTGAAGTTATTGCTCACAAACATGCAAATTTGAAAACTGCTTAAAAACAAGATGTTTTTACTAATATTCTAATTATTCTATAAAATAAGAACAAACGCAAAAAGATTTAAAATAGTCGGAAAACAAAAACACTCATCAAGGAAAAAAAGCCAAAAATATGCAGCTCCTAGAATAAGAATAGAAAAGGACCCTACCACAGCAAATTAAACATTCCCAGTGTTTTCATGCATACAATATAAGTACTCTGCATTTCTCACTAAATATCTAGCCCGGGCTAAGAAGCAATATTGCATAATTCAATGACTCAAGCTCAGAAGTGAGCACGCACAGAATGTTATGGGAATACCGTGGTAGGTTAGAGTGCCTAGTGATATATATTAAAATAAAGATCCACTGTCTTATCCCTCAGCACACCATTCTCTCCAAACTTAAAGAAGGGTAAAGAACTTTTAACATTTTTGAGAGATCCACTCATTAAATTGAGTTCTCTCTTTTGTAAGGGATGGCAAATGAGACTGCGAAGTAAGGATGCTAAAATGTCATTATGACTTTGAAAATGCAAAGTATCTTTACACATACAGGCAATATACACTGTAAAAATTTAATTCTCTCACCTTTAAAGAAACACAGATCACATTCAATGCTTCCTTGATCTGAGGATGATGTGATTCATGGACTAGCTCCTCACAGATCCAAATACCAAGGCTGCAAAGAGCAACACATCTGTAAAACAATGTTAAAAGACAATGTTGAAGTTCTTGAGAAACATTCTACAGGAATGTATAATTTTTATGATTCATTATGTTTTACTAAAGACATATAACAACAAATATGTTTTTAATGTTTCCAAAACAACTACACAAAAACCTTTTAGCACTGTAACTTATTTAAAAATGAGCAAGAAATCCAAAGTATGCTAGTGAAGGCAGAGGAAAGGGCAGAGGAAGCACTCATCTGAGCAACTGAAAAATCCAAAAGACATCAAGAACTCCTGCATTTCTGTGTTTGATTAAAAATATGACCTGAAATCAATGTATGGGAAATTCTTATATCTTCTTAAGACAAAGCAAGAACTGGGGAGGGAGCTTCTTCCTTCCCAACACAAGAGGCTGCTCATATTTAGACTTCTGAGACACAGAAATCAGAGAGGAATATTACTCTCTCATAGACATTCACATTGTTTTAGAAGGACAATAAACAAGGATGAATAAAGAAGGGGTAAATGAACCCTAAAGACAGTATACATACTGTGATTAGTACATCAACTTTTGTTGCTTCTTCAGTTAAAATCAGGAAATAGAAAAGAAGTGCAAAAGTAAAGAGTATTTAGATACATGTGTTCAAATCAACAGATGGATGAAATTTGTTCAGAAATGTTAAGGAGCTAGCTTAAGCAGTCTCTGAGCCATTAGTTATTTTCTTCACGAACACAGTCTACAAATATTTTGGAAACAACTTCAGAATTCAAAATCCTGGATAAAATGGGGCAGCAATCAAAAATCGACAAGAAATCTGGTCATGTGACCTGCAATGCATTACATCTGGGAAGGAAAAATAGTAGGCTAGAATAAAAACAAAAGTGGGTATGAAGCCTATGCTGTAGAAAAATGATTTTAAGGCTACATAGAATCATGAAAATGCTTACAGACAGCAAAAATACAAGACTTAATTGTACATTCTAGTGTAAAACCACCCTACTTTTTACATTGTCACTGAAAGAAAAACTGCAAAATGCTTTTAGAAAGCATTTTTTAGAAAGCAGTTTTCTAACATAAGAAATTAAATTAATGTGATCCCAGGATATTCCCTTCTTTTCCTGTGTGGAGAAATATTATCAGCTCGAGTGAAGAAAGAGGTAAGTGGGCTGATGGAAACTGCTCTTGGTTTTCCAACAAAATGCTTAAAGGTTCAATAAGCTGATCTTTCCAGGTTTTAAGTTTTTCAGGTAGGTAGTTATAGTATTTTTAAGTGACAATATATTAGTTGGACATATATATTCACTCTTTCCAAATATGCAAGGCACACAAATGCACTCTTCCTTGGTAGACATTAGAGATTTGTGTTCCAATCCCATACACAGGACTCTGTAACTGAAGGCTTCAGAAGACGGGTACAGAGGAACAAAATGCAATGCAAATTAAGAAACAGAAGAGAAAACTGGTAACTATCCTGTCAGAAGTTGTTTATTTGATGAAGATGCTTAGGTTTAAGCATCAGAGCAACCATTCCTAGTTTAAATCCTTGCTCATTTTTTTCTGCTTTTTGTCCCTACCACAAGAAGGGCTCATGTACACTGGATTGTTTCTGTTATTCAAATTAAATCATGTGATCTAATAAAAAATAACTATCCCTCCCTCATAAATAATCTTGTCCTAACCAAAGTAAAAAATGCCTCTCTAGTCCAGAAAATCCCTGAGCTGAACACCAGGGTAGGTTGGGAAAGCTTATTCTCTTACCCTTATTTACAGCCTTTCCTATCAGCCACTATCATAGAAAGAATACTGGACTAGACCAGCCCAATTTGTTAATTTAATATCTCTATTACAATTTCAAATTCACATCATGGACCATAGTTCTGACAGCAGTGAAGAAAACCATTAATAAAATGGAACAAATTTTACTTTAAGCTCTTTAATATATTCACCTCAAAACAGTTTAAAAAAGAAAATAATCTATTCATGCAGAAGCTCTTTTAATATGACCTACCGTGCAGGACCAGATGGCTCCTCTCTTGCTGAACTTAACACAGTTTTTATTATGAGCTCCTAAAAGGAAGAGGAAATTCTCACTGATTTACACATAACTCCATCACAGAAAGCATCAAAATACCATTATAGAGCACACAGGCATATTGCTTAGCTGAGTCTATGTTGTGGTCAGATGAATTATTTGCTTACCACTACTCCAAGTATCTAGCCTGTCCCAGACACTCATTACTGTGCCACCCCAAGAATATCCTACATGTTACTTACTGTCCTAATTTCTGCTGATGAGCTATTTATCCAAATCTTTTCAAAACATTTCCATAAAAAATCAAAGGTAAAAAAAGAAACTGTAAAGGACTCCCTGAAGCTATCTTAAGTAGTGCTAAAGGGTATGACAGAAAGAATCTTTTACTCTGAGGTTTAAACAAGCATTTAAAAAAAATTTAATTGATCTAAAAAGTATTTTCAACTAGTTACAGAGTAAGTGCCTACACTGCCTTAAGAATGCTGTCAAGAAGAATTCAACTACAGTGAAATGTCCCTAAAGCTGTAGGCTGCCTTAACATAATTCAAGTAAGCAGCCATTCTCAATAGAAATGAGAAGGAATTCAAAATCAGTCTCCAAAGGGGAGCAAGGTATAAAGTAGCTCTCAAGTCATCATTTCTCCCTAAACTGAAACAGTTTAGAAAAGTTAAGGGGAGCCTTTCTTAGACTAACTGAGCTCTGTGCAGTTTCAGTATATTGTCACACTACCTAACTCTGTGTTATGATAGACAAGGTAATGACTCCATTAATATTTGCCTTTTGAAGAAAGAACATACTGCTGTGCAGGTGATCTTATGATCTATTTGAAATTACTCTTGAAAATTTTAGGATCTTAAAATCTTACTATTTTCTGCAAAAGCACAATATTAAACACATATTTGGTAACAGAATACTAGCCAAATATTCTTAAAATTCCTACCTTAACATCTGTAAACTGAGACACAGCAATGTCAGGAATATTTGGGTGAAGAGCTGGTAGTTCACAATATAAATTGGGAAAACAGACTAGAGATCCTAAAAGAACCTGTGCTTCAACTCTTGGTGCCTGAAAAAAAAAAGTTGGGGAGAAATATATATTCTTACTGCAATTGGGAAGCTGACATTCCTAGGTGCCTTAAAAGAGAATGATGGCTGAAATTGTATACAGCTTTTTCCTTTCTCCTGGAAATTCCAAGCCCCTGCAGAGCTGAGTAAACAGAGACCACAGCTCCCTGGATTGTTACTCCTGCACACCCCGCTCTCATTTTCTAAGACAGTCAAAAGGAGGCAGAAGAATTGTTACAACTACAGACAAATAACTGAGCTGTGAACTGGGATCAGGTCTTAGGTTCAGCTAATTGACCAGGATATGGAAAACTACTAAATGTGACACGAGGCATTGCTGAACAGGAAAGTCTACAGTGTAAGAAGCTGACAGACGCTTCAGACAGTACCTTGAGGAAGTCTGGATTTCATAACTGGTTAGAGAGGGATTGATGGGATTGAAAAAGGCAAAATTCAGACACTTGGAGGAGGCTGTGGGGGATTTGATAGAGTACAATATGCACAGCCAACAGCACCGAGGTAAGCACATCTGTATTACTATATAAGGCTGAACTTTCCTGAGTAACAAAATCAGAAATGTGAAAAAAATCCAAATAGTGCAAACACTAGTACATTTGAGTTCTCAAGCCTGATCATAGAAGTCATTCTATAGCAGAGAAATAGAGGAATAAGTATATTTTTTAAATTAAATCATAGTCAAAATGGACATTTACTTTAAAACATCTTCAAACACAGAAAAACGGTAGTCACAATTTTTGTAACTCTAAATTAGATTCTCTGTTTCAACAGTAATTTTTGCATTCTTCACATATTTTCTGGAGGCATGTGTAGTGCTCTAGAACAAATCACTAACATTATCTGTATTTGATAACCACTACATTGAATTCTGGGATCAATTTAACACCCTAGTCAAGGAAAACTATACTGCTCAGTATTCTCTCAAATTCTTCCTCACCCATAAATGAGAACTGATGAATACTTACATTGAGGAAAGAAGAAGCAGCCACTCTTCCTGCTGCTACAATGAAATCCATAATAAGCATGGTAGCACCAGGCAAACCAAGTGAAAAGAACTGAGGAGAGCAGTGCTTGATGATTGTATTGACAATATCCTCGCAGAAGGAAAAGGGAAAAAAAGGAAGAGTATCAACACGAATCAAGATGAAAAATTAATGAAAAAGGCAGGTATTTATCAAAGGTAGAAAGTAAAAACACGAGAAAGAAAACTCATTGCGGCCAGTAAAACACTCATTAGTGACAGAAGAATAGCACAAAAAGAGAAATTCCTTAAGTATACTCTATTAATGTAAGTAAACTTGGTATACTTTATAGATCAATTTAAGCTTGGACAATAGTTCATATATTAATTTATAGTCAGCTTTTAAGAGTTCTGTAACTGATTAACCATTCATTTGGATAGGTACAGAAGAGATATAGTAAGATAACCAGTAAGATACCTTAACAAGTGCTTAACCCTCTCCAGCAAGTATTGCCTGACTATAACTTTAAAAAAAGTATCAGCCTCTTACATATACCCATACGGAACCAAAATTTAAAGAAAGATAATAAAGTGTTTAGTAACATTTCTGGTATGTAGTTAATCAGCACAGCATATTATGTTCTTGCAGACTTAATGAGGCACTTTCAAAAATCATTGTACATGATGAAATTTTTCCAAACTACTTCAAAAAGTATAAAATGCTTTATTGTAAAAAAAGTCCCAAGTCTACACACAGGCACCCCTGCTCCTTTTCTCCTTTGAAGAATTCTCCACTAGTAGTAACATCCAACTACACAGCAATGTCACAGGAGGATCTTCAATCCAGGCAAGAAAAGCAGCATTAATGGGTGTCAGAGGACAGAAACTGGAGATCTGTCCTATCCATAGTCATCTGTGGAATAATTTTGGAACAATTCTATTCTTCCCAGTTAAAAAAAACTGGGTTGTTTGAACCTTTGATCTCCCCATGCCTATAATCATTCCTCAAAAAAGTTCACAAACCCAACTTTTTTACACTTCTGCAAACCTTTGAAAAGTATTTAAGCCATACAATATTTTCAGACTTCTTAACATCAAAACCTATGAAAAAGGTCTACTCCCACTGATTAGATACGCTCAGTACATCTCAATTTGCTGGTTCCTATACTTGCTGTAGAAACAAAGTCCTCCAATGTAGTGAGCACAATTTACTAGCTAAACTGTTGCATCAGGGAGCAAGTAAGAAGAACAGTAGACTTTAGAGAGATCTGCTTCCTTCTCTTTCTTGCATACTTCAATCTGTAACATACAATCAATAAAAAATGAGAGAGTACCTTTTCTGCCCTCATATTTGCTTGAAATGGACTACAAAAAAAGCGTTTCTGAATAAAACCAAGAATTTAAGGATCATTTATCAAAGTTTTCTTTTTAGAAAAACAATCAGTCACAGCACAAATTTAAACAAAGTTAAATTACTCAGATGAATATACATTGAGTATTTTTGAGAAGAAAATTTTATTTTCAGTCATAACATTTATATTATCTTGAATTTCATAATTAACTTACTTGATCAACATGAAGAAGTCCACAGTGCATTATATTGTAGAAATGAGTTAAAAAATCTCTGTTTGGAGAAACATCTTGTCTTCGTTTCATTGTCTTACAAATAAGCTTATAAGCATGTAGCTTTCCTTGTTTGTATTTATCGGTCAGCATTGTTGCCTACAGTTTTAGAACAATATTTATTATTCATAAATAAAAAAAATACATTAAACACTCTTCTACACTTAGTTAACTTTTATTTCTATTTCACAGTTTAGTGCTCAAATTTACCTTGAAAAGCCATGGTGTTAGAATTCTCAGTGGTGGAATTAAAACTGGGGGAGATGGTGAAGTTAGGTTATCTGTTGAAATACCAAGATTGTCTCTTATCTGTGATTATTAAAAACAAAACAGAAAGAATTATTTAAGGGAAATATATACAGCCATGATTTTTTCTTTTTGAAAACCCTGCCCAAACAGGTCAGGTTGGAGAAAAGGTTCAGTTCTTTTACCTTGGCCAGATTTTGCCACAGTTCACACAGATAGTCAAAAACCTGGGCATGAATCTCTGGATCCATGATGCTGTTGACATCTCCCAGAATTCCTAGCATCCTCCTCCACATCACAGTAGCAACATCTGCGTGCCATCCTGTAAGTGTTCCCCCAGCCATCACACTGCAACATTCTGAGGGGAATTCACTAGTTTCTGTAACGGAAGGAAAGAAGTATAGTGAGATCTACCTCTCCAGAAAAGGAAAAGTCCTGATACAACTATTAAATACACACTCTTGTTAAAACTGAATGATTGGGCTTTCAGAATAAGCTATTTGTTACCCATTCAGCCACCTCAACACTGTATGTGTTAAGCTTTGTCTATATAAACTCTGTAGAAGAAGAATTGTCCTGTTTCTTATATTCTTTAGTAACATTTAAGGTCATTGCTGGAGGTCTAATACATATCGGATTAACCTAGTAAGGCCACTCCTTTTGTAACTATTTTCCTACATTCTTTGAATTCAATGAATGTCCAGAACTCCACTTGGCTGCTTTCAAGCAAAATTATTTTTCAACTTTACATTTTTCCTAATGCAACATAAAGACTATTTTTCTTAGAATTTAATAGGAAAGCATGTCATTGCAAGTCGAAGAGAAAAGTGTGAGTAAACTTGTCTCTCGCTCTTGTCCTTTAAACAGTAAATTTGTATGAGTGGAGAGGCAATATTCAGTAACTTAGCACCACAATCCTAACACCCACCTAGCTCTTCCCACACACCAGCACTATACGAATAAACATTCTTTTTTAGGTGGAAGATGATTAATCTAGACTGTCCATATAAAGAAACCTTCAATAGATTAAGATGGCTCAAGTCTACTCAGGTCATGCTTATCTAGCTAAACAGCCACAAAAAACTAGATAATGAGCCAGTTTGAGAGCAGCAGGCATTCAGAATCTTCTTTCCACCCCCTCAGGTGTATAATTGGCTGGTATCTTCTGAAAATCTTGCAGCTCCCACAGGCATACCAAACCAAAATTAAATCTGAATTCAGCCTAACCACATAGCCTCTTCTTTTGAACTTCTGGGCCACTGTGATAGAGAAACTACTGGTTTCTAGGCTGTAGATTTTAAAGTACAAACCAAAACGATCTTTCATTTTGTCCATCAGTAGGCTACTTAAAGAAATACGGTCTCAAATACATAGCAGACACTCATTTGTTTCCATGAGACAAAATGCAGGAGAAATGTTCACATTGTATTTACAAAGAAAATGTATCTTAGAATTCGATAGCTAAGATGGTTGACTGTCTTAGCCAACAGTAATTACCAACTGGGCTTAAATATGAAAGGGAAATAAACCAAACTTGCAAGGAGAAACTATAAGATTATGAAATTATGAAATTATCTTATTATTTGTACATCAATGATGAAACAGTCCATGGCAGGACCACATGCTAGATTAAGCTGCCACAATTCTAAGCAACTAGAAGAACAATTATAAATATGTGGACTATCAATCCACTGTTAAAAATTCCAATGAAATTCAGGTTAAAATGCAAAAGGTTTTTGTTTGCTTTTAAAAGTAATCACTGTAATTAAATATTTTTTCAAGTGCAGACGAAATAACCTTGTACAGGATTGTTTACAATTCATGTGATACTAGCTACTTCACTACATTGCAAAAGAAAGAGAGAAAGAAAGGGAGAAAGAAAGGGAGAAAGAAAG